GCAAGCAGTTTGCAATGGGGGCACTTGGGGGATAGGAGCCAGGAGCGCCAGCAAGTAACCTCAGAAAATGGAGGACTGGGGCTGCTCTGTGAAAAACCATTGCAAAGAGCAGGCAAGTATAACACGTTTTGTTATTTTATAAAAAATAAAAAGTGATCCTTTACAATAACATTAAGATCAAATCTCACTCAAATGTCTCTGGTCTCAATAATTAATGTCTCATGCTATGGCCCTTTTATGAGCCATGACCTAAATTTCTATTTGCTGCGTTTCCACATGAAAAACCTTTATTCTGAAACCTAAAAGTTCTCCTGTGATCAACAAATTATTATGCCTTTTTGGTTTGTTGTTGTTGTGTTTTTTTTTTTTTTTTTTTTTTTCTTCTTGCAGTTGCCCTACTTTTTGTTTTGAGACTTTTTTTGTCGCAGTTATATAAATGGGTGGATTACAGCGTAGGCCAGATGTTTATCACATTGTATAAAGAACAGAAGTTACATGTGCACTCATGTTCGCTGTTCTGTTTAATGTTGCCTTATTAACAGCTTGAACAAAATCCGTAATCCATATATGATATAGCTAGTTAGAGCTTTGTGTTATGTTACATCATTTCTGGATATTGTTAACCACTTGAAGACCGGCATGTTAAACCCCCTTCCTGCCCAGGCCGTGTTCCAGTTTTCAGTGCTGTAACATTTTAAATGACAGTTACTCAGTCGTGCAACACTGTACCCAAATGAATTTTTTATCATTTGTTTAGACATATCGATAGATTTCTATCTGTCTTTAATTTATTCACCGCTGAGTTTGGTCTTTTTTTTTTTCTTTATATAGCAAAAAATAAACTTTTTGGGAAAAAAAAGTTTTTTTTTAGTTTTGTTATAAAACTTTGCAAATAATTTCTTCATAAATTTAGACCGAAATGCATTTAGCTGCATTTCTTTTTGTAAAAAAAGAAAAAAAAAAGGTGTATATTATTTAGTCTGTGTGAAAGTTGTTATAGCCTCTACAAACTATGGTATATACTTAATTTCTCAGGCCCTAAAACGCCAGGACAGTACAAATACCCCCAAAGTGACCTATTGATGAGAAGTAGACATTTCAAGGTATTTAAGAGGCATGGTGAATTTTTTTGAAGTTGTAATTTTTTGCCACAATTCTTTGGAAAATGATCAAAGCAAATAGTTTTCATTTTAACATGCTATTTCTCACATACAACATAGGCATACTTACAACTACACCCCCCCCCCCAACATTCTGATACTCCTCCCGAGTTTAAGGTGCTCCTGTAGGCTTTCAGGGGACATAAATCATGCATCCAATTCCTGGCTACCTATCAGTTTTTTTGAGGCCCTGGAGCACCAGGACAGTGGAAACACTGGTACACTGCGACTGCCTGCAGGGGTATCACTTCCCCTAGTTTTCGCATAGAAAGGGGCACACAGCAAGTCTGTAACTTTTAACTGATTCTGTTAGTCTTAGCCATTAGATCCCTAGTCCCATTAATCAGAAAAATCTCCAGTATACACGAGTGAAGTTTCTAGCATTTCCTACCAAGCAAACCTGTGGACAATAGCGTTTTAACTCTCAACTAACCAACTCCATATATCAACACCCTACCATGTGCTGATCTTTCCATATCAGCCATCTCGGGACTAACTGTAAAATGGAAAAAAAACCCTTAGACCTATAAACGCAAATCATCCTTGAACTAATTTAGGATGAAGTTCAGAATTTGTTCAGCCAGAATCAATATAAAACAGTCAGGCATAAAATTACCCAATCTTACTTAAACACTTGTACTCAGCCAGTTATATACTGATCTTTCATATACTGATCTTTCAAAACCTAAACTCTTTGTTTTGGATCTTTGTTTTCCAATCGTTTTTATTGAGATTTCTGTTTTTTTGTTTTTTGTTTTTTTTTTTTGTTTCTCAACACAGTGATACAACTCGGTACAAATGAAATAGAGTATCAAGACACGATAAGCGATCTATTTTATATTTTTGTACACAAAATTCCAACTTATAGCGTAAGAGGCTGAACTTGCATGTTTCTGAACTATCTTCATTGAGCCTCCAACAGGATCCTCACATAAAGAGCCCCTTCGTGTGAAACAGGGGGAAAATTCTCAGTACCCGTGGGCCCTAAGGTCTGATCCTATTGGCTCCGGCCGCCCAAGGTGAGGAAGGGGACCCGACCTCCCCTCCAAAATGTCCGACAGGCCATAAACAGATGAAAGAGAGGAAAGAAAAGGTAAGTAATAGGGAGTAAAAAAAAAAGAGACAGGAAAAGGTGGAATCCATGAACAATCACTGTGGCCCAAAGAGGTTATCTGCAAACCCGGTTAAGTGGGACCTGTAAGGTAGGTAAGCCAAGGTTCCAAAATCCTCTCAAAATTATATATCGTTTCCTGCAGAATGGCAGGGAGGCTTTCGTTCAACATTATCCAGGACAATTTAGACTTTACGAGACCAAAAGGGATCACTGGATATTTCCAAGATCTCGATCTTGCTGTCGTGATCCTAACCGTTGTAAAAATGAATGTTATGAGGCGTTGAGATGGTCTCGGGGTCCCTTTCAGAGGACAGCCCAATAGAACCTGTTGCGGGGATTTGATTAAATTAGCCCCTGTAAGGGAATAAAGAAGATTATAAATACGGATCCAAAACCAGCGGACCTTTGGGCACGTCCACCAGACATAATATGCTGTCCCCTCCTGACTGCATCCTCGGAAACACATTGGGGAAGCATCTGATACTGTCTTGGAAATTCGCTTTTAACGAATTTCTCCTTACCGTGAGTACTCGCGGTTGAATGCGCAGCAATCCCCCATAAAGCTGTGCGAATCTCGCTTACCACGACTGCAGCTAAACTCCATGATTCCTGTTCCTCCAACTGGGTTAGCTATCTCGAGATGTGGGGAAATGGAGCTCCAGTTACCTAGGAATGATCAGACGACACTCTCAGGTTGCTGTTGGAATTCACATAGAGGCTGGCTTCAGACTCAGCCCCCGGTTTTATTACACACACACACCCCCCACATGAGTCAGGTCAATCCCCTCCCACAGAACAATGCATGGGGAGTGCCTATACACAGGATGTACATTCCGATTGGAGCATTGCCTTTCCTCTTATCTATCACCAGTCCTCCCCTCCCTCCATGAGCTCTCTGAGGGAAGCAACCTTCCCCCTTTACACCAGTCCTCCCCTCCCCCCCATGAACTCTCTGAGGAGAGCAAACTTCTCATCCTATTAGCTCCTAGTGGTATGTAAATTCTCTGTACAAGCATCCCCTAGATTAAACAGTGCCAGTCTGTATCTGAATGGGCCCGATACGATCTTTATTAATACACATCCATCCAGATACAGTTCAGGTCGGTAATGGCTTGTAAGATATACATGAGCCTACACACGGAGTTCGCACTGCTTGGCGCCTTGCGGTACGAAGTCCATGTGGTACTATGCTGCTGATATGTGGATACAGGCCCGCGGCCTACCGCCGGCGGCATTCGCATCGAATGCCGTGGTGGTATACACGCCAGTCTATAAGCGCAGATCTGCCATCTCATCCATTACCGAGCTGAGTACTGTAATACATACATTGTACATGCGCATGGCCCAATTGCAGCCTTCAGAGCTTAATTAAGCCACATGAGAGACATATGAATAACACTAATATATGACACATTTAAAGTTCAACCTGTAAATACCAAATTTCCATGACAGTACCCAGTGGGCTATTATGGCTGGAACCATATACCACCTCAGTAAGACTTTGTAGTTTGCCTCTATTAAGGAAGTGTTCATGATTGCTTATAAATGACTATTTTTGCAACACTTTTGTAATAATTTCTGGTACAGATCCAAACTCCTACCCGTTTTTAATCCTTGAAAAGAAAAACCTCACTTAATGCCAGTTTACAGAACGTTAAGCACACATACTGTATTTGAAAGGGGAAAAGGACTCCTGAGCATATTGTGCTGATATCATGCAGCCCAGCTTCTACCACTGATGACTTTACATATACTTTATATAACTAACAATGCTCCACTGGACTTTTCTGGAAATACCGCACAACCCAACCCCTAGTTAACCCATCCTATGGATTCCAGCCCTCCAGCTCTCCTACGAAACAAAACCTCAAAATACAGGACTCCGTTAAATAGTGGTCCAATAGACTAATATCACCACACTTCCCTTTTATTGTCACTACTCTCTCATCTCTGCTTTCCTCCAGACCTAGTAAATCCCAAAACATTTGAATGGTGGTCTCACAATGTCTATAACAGGATCACAGAGTCCACCACTTCCCAAAATCATTAAAACTGTATCTTTTGGCTGAAATGTATGCTCGTAAAAACACCCTCCTACCATGGAACTGTACAGATATATGCAAATTTAATAGAAGGAACAACCAAATTCCTCATGTACGTTGAACGCATTTGCCCAAATGCTCTTTAAATTTCACCATAGTCTACTGAAGTCTCTATATAACTAAACACAAATACGTACTCTGTAAGGGTGGCCTTGCTACACAGCAAGCTTGAATTGCTATCTTAGCCTAACTAGAAAACAAAATCTTGTAATTTCCAGAGGTGCAACAGAGAGTCGAATCCATAATGATTAAAGCCCCACACTGGGCAAAATTTATCTTCGTACTAATCTCGCTCCCCTCTAACCCATCCTGTTAAGCCTTTTGGTGCCTTTACCTTGTAAAACCAACAGGTGAATTGGTACCATGTGTTTGTGTGTTGTGAGCTTTTTGACAGTTTTGTTTTGCGATTCAAAGGCGTTTTGTTTTGTTTTTTTGACAGACCTTAATGTGTCTAACTACTGAAATTATTGCTTGCTATAGTATGTATAAAAACACTAAACTCTGACAGCCATGTAATAACATGTTCTACCCTGTTTAATTTGTTACAACAACAAAACCTCATTGAAACCAAAAATTAAAAAAAATGTTTTTTTCTCTTAAAGGATCAGACTAACCTAAGTGGGGATGGCGGCCATTGATAATGAACAGGATATGGGTGAACAACCAGTAAGTTTAATTTTTTTTTTTTTTTTACTCTTCTTTTTCAGTGAATGGTTTATAACGTAAAATCCATTGCTACCTTTCAGTTGCCATGGCAAGATTTATGTGTCGTGTGAACATTTCTGGTATTATATTACTTAGCCAAAAGCCAGTCCTGTTTAAAATCATTTGGAAACGCATCTGATCTTTTCGTAGATTTGTTTCCTGGCATGTTTACTTATATTTCACAGACACTGAGTACCAGCATATGATCTATTGCGGTGTGTCACAAAGGTTTGGGAGCCAGTGTACTAGGGTGTGGATTCTGCAGGATTGGTGGTAGAAAAGCCAGAAACCTTGCAAGAATATGTGCAACTTGCTCTGTGGAGAGACACAACTGCAGGTTGTGGAGCAATTTTTTTAACACACATTAGGTATTTTATAGCCAAAAAGTCCCAGAACATTTATATATTTTCTGAATGCAGAGGCCCTGCAGAATAAAAAGATGGTGGTTGCAGTTTTTTTTTTTATGTTACTTGATATTTGTGCAACTGCTGATCCAATCTATATTTTCTGGGAAAAAATACACTAACTTTAGTTCACACAAACACAAGTACATCCCCATGTTTTGTACAAAATAAAAGATGAGGTAGTGTCGAGTAAATAGATATCAAAAATGCATGTGCTCAAGAAACAGAAAAAAATTATGGCACCCAAAATTATCAATAGGTGACACTTCATCTGCTTTTACAGCTCATCAGCTCAGAGTTGGCCATAAATGAATTTATTGCTTTCACTCTGTCTTGCGCAGTGGTATATAATATGTGGCACAGTTGTCTTGCAGTTGCTTGGTTAGTTCTCTAAGATGTTTTGGACACCTACCGAGTTCAAAAACTATATGCAAGTGTACTTAGAAGAATTGAAGCTGTTTTGAAGGCAAAGGATGGTCATAGCAAATATTGATTTGAGCTTCAGCTCTTCTGTGAAGGCTGTCCACAAGGTTTAGGTGTGTGTCAATGGGAATGTTTGACCATTCTTCCAGAAGCGCATTTGTGAGGTCAGGCACTGATGTCGGTTGAGAAGGCCTGGCTTGCAGTCTCTGCTCCAATTTATCCCAAAGGTGTTCTATCAGGACTCTGTGCAGACCAGTCAAGTTCCATCACCACAAACTCGCTCATCCATGTCTTTATGGACCTTGCTTTGTACACTGGTGCGCAGTCATGTTGGAACAGCTGTTGTTGCAGCAACAACACCATCCCCAATCTGTTCACATAAAGGTGAGAGCATGAAATTGTCCAAAATGTCCTGCTATGCTGAAACCTTAAGAGTTCCCTTCACTGGAACTAAGGGGCCAAGCCCAAACCCTGAAAAACAACCCTAGACCATAATCCCCCCTCCACCAAAGTACACTTGACAAAATGCAGTCAGACAAGTACTGTTCTGGCAACTAGCAAACCCAGACACGTCCATCAGATTGCCAGACAGAGAAGCATGATTCGTCACTCCAGATAACACGTCTCCTGCTTTAGAGTTCAGTTTTGGCGTACTTTACGCCACTGCATCTGACGCGTTGCATTGCATTTGGTGATGTAAGGCTTGGATGCAGCTGCTCGGCCATGGAAACCCATTTCATGAAGCTCTCTACGGACTGTTGTGCTAATATAAAAGCCACATGAAGTTTGGAGGTCTTTCGCTATTGACACTGCAGACAGTTGGCAGCTTCTGGCACTATGCGCTTCAGCATGCGCTGACCCCTCTCTATCATTTTACATGGCCTACTACTTTGTGGCTGAGTTGCTGTTGTTCCCAGTTGCTTCCACTTTGATACAATACCACTAACATTTGATTGTGGAATATTTAGTAGCAAGGAGATTTCACGGATGGACTTATTGCACAGGTGGCAACCTATCGCGGTACCACGCTTGATATCACTGAGCTCCTGAGAGCGACCCATTGTTTCACAAATGTTTGTGGAAGCAGTGTGCATGCCTAGGTGCTTGATTTTATACACTTGTGGAGGTGATTGGAACACCTGAATCCAAGGATTTTGAGCGGTGTCCCAATACTTTTGGCAATATAATGTATATATTTTTACACACACATTCTGTAGGTACCTTGTTTTGTGAGAGTTTGCATTCACTTACTGGCATGCAAAGTTTATTAAAACAATGAAGTCACATGTTTTTTGTTTTTTTTTTTCATCTTTGTGCATGAACCCTTAAACCAAATAATCCGTGAATGTATCAGTTGACCCTAAACATGTGCAATTTAATGGTATGACAACAGAATTTGAATTTTCATGATGGTAACTATATCTTGCTTCAGAGATGAATGTAAATGTCCTCGTGCCTGGTGGCAAAACAGTAGATCAGAGTACAAATGTTGGTCACCTTCAATATGAATACCATTAAAATGTGGCCCCATGGTGCAGGCCTCTTATTTATCCTGAATTTGCTCTTATTTAGGCTAAAAAGAGTATGTACCAGAAAGAGCCACAGAAATTATTCAAAATGAAATGCCTAACTCTAGCCCAAACATTTTGAGAATTAAAAGTAGGACCTCCAACAATTTTTTTTATTGATGTTTCCCTGTGTGGTGAAAATGAGGTTAAATAAATATCTCAGAAGAGGACACAAATCACAATTAAAACCAGTCAGAGGTCCTAAACCTTACCACCTTGTACTCTAAACTAATAAAAGCATTTTGGCTGCAGTTTGGCTATAAAATTGTCAAGTTTATAACTTGCTCCTCTTGCATACACATCTCATACATGTACATAAAGCTGCTACAATAATGTGAACATAATCTGGCCGTACATTGTACAATTCTCAGCCGATTTCTGAACCAGCTGGGCTGGCTCTCAAGATATATAGTAGTAGCCGCAGTGGGATATTTGTCTATCTTGACTGTGTAGTATAGATGACAGAATCTGTTAAATGTTTTTCATTCAGTGTGCTGGCTATATGCCTATGGGCAGCTTGTCTATTTTGCCTGCAAAGTCCACTTTTTAGACAAGTTAGAAGCTCTCTTTTGCCAGAACAATTTGGGCAGCCCTAAAGCAGATGCTGGCCCACTCTTTTTCCTTTTGTATTTTGAACTACATGTAGACATTGAACTGAACTATCTGTTTGCTGTCTTTTGGTTTATTAACATGTGCTTGTGTCAGTACAAAGCTGGCTATAGAGAATGTTTATTTTTTTAACTAGAGCAGGGGTGGGGAACTGTCACCCTCCAGCTGTTGGTGAACTAAAAGTCCCATCATGCCTTTGGGAGTCATGCTTGTAACTGTCAGTTTTGCAATGTCTCATGGGACTTGTAGTTCTACAACAGCTGGAGGGCCACAGTTGCCCACCCCTGAACTAGAGAAGGAATACCCCCTGCTGGGACAGTGTATTTAGAGCACAGGGCATGTAACACAATCCACCAAGTGCAGAACAGATAACAGAGAACATCCCTTCTCCAATATATGTTTACAAAGCGCAATTTGCAGCACCTTGTATAATTAAGAGAGTTACAAACTCATCGAAATTTGATGAGTTTGTAACTTTCAATAAATATACAAGGTGCTACAGATTAGACATCTTTGTTTATAAATATATACTGCATATAGAGTGTGTGTGTCATTTTAATTATGGTTATATTTAAAAGGTATCGCGTATTATAAATTTTAAAAAAGGTGGCGAAAAGCTTCCTTTCTCTGAAAAGTATAAAAGTGTAACAGCAGATGCATGTCTCTTTTAATTCTTCTATCAGATTTGTTAACCTGAGCCCTGAACAAGTCAATTCATGTTTTCTTGAAGTAAATGATATACTTTGTAGACATTTGTTATAATTTGTGTCAGGAAATTTTTTTTTTTTTTTTTAATTAAATTTGGATATTGCAGACTTTTGAGGTACCCTGATACTACAAATATTATTAAAAATTGAACAATACATAATTGTAGTCATTGTGTTTTTAATATCTGAATGGTGTTCAGCTTTAACCACTTCAAGTCCGGACACTTTTACCCCCTTCCTGTCCAGGCTAATTTTCAGCTTTCAGCGCTATCACACTTTGAATGACAATTGCATGCAGGGGTGTATTTACCACAAGGCAAACAATGCATTTGCCTAGGGTGGCAATTTTCAGGGGGGCAGCGCTGCCCCTTGGAAGAAGGGGACATGCGGCATGGGGACCTGTTGGGTTCCGAGAGAGGTTGCAGGTTTCATGACTGTGTATGCACAGCCCGACTCTCGTTCATGGGGATGTCCGGAGCTATGAAGGTGAGTCTTTCTTTCTCTCGCCATGGGGGATGGTGGCTGGTGTATGGGGGGCAGTGGTAGTGAAAGGCTCGGGTGGAGGGCAGGGGTACTCTTGGTCAATATCAGGCTCTTTCTGCGGGGGGGGATTTTTGTGTTGCCTAGGGCAGCGCAAAACCTAAATACACCACTGATTGCGTGGTCATGCAACACTGTACCTATATGAATTTTTTAGCATTTTTTTGAGACCGATAAAGCTTTATTTTGGTGATATTTATTCACCACTGGGATTTTTATTCTTTTTGCTATATAAATGAAAAAGTCCAAAAAATTTTAAAGTGTTTTTCTTATAAAATTTTGCAAATAAATAATATTTCATAATAAATCTTGGCCAAAATGTATTTAGTTATCTTTTTTAGTAAAATAAAAATAACCCAAATTATTTTATAATCAAAAATTCTAATATTTAAAAAAATATTTAAAATTTTTATTTTTTTATATTTGATTTTTTTTTTTTTTTTACATACTGTTACCCTAGCAGTACAGTGTCATAATGGTGACACTGTACTACTTGTGGGGGGTGATGAAGATTTTTTTTACACTGAGTGCTTTTACACCCATAAAGGCTGTAAAAGCAAGAATTTCTCCTATCTGGCTGCATTCTTGCAGCCATTGAGAAATACTGTGTGATCTGTGATTGGTCACAGCTTGTCACATAATACAAGGCTGTTGTGAATAGCCTTGTATCATGTGACCTCTGTGATCATTCACAGATTTCACACATAGTAAGCAATGATGTCAGAAGTGACATCTTGCTTACTACTGTGCATGTGATCACTGATTGGCCAATAAGTGATCACAGGATCGGGAACTCACACAGAGGTCCCGTACGATGATCGGTGTTCCACTGTGTCGAAGGACACAGCGGGCACCAGATCGCGGTGCTGCGCGCTCCCAGGGAGCGTGCACAAGCAGGGGACGGGTTTATAAATGGTCACCCGCCCCTGCACTGCCACCGTCCGGCCGTTTTTATACAACGGCCAGACGGGAGGTGGTTAAGGTAAACCTGAATGAAGGAAATATTTACTTTGCAAGCTTGACATTGTACGAGACCTCCTCCTGTTCCTACCTTCTCATCCAAACCTGCTGCCAGAGCTCCATTAGAAACCTAGAAGCTGATCTCCAGGCAGATGCATACTGTATGTTCATGCAAAATTCAACTCTGTATTCATTAATACGTCATTGAATTTACCTTTGTATATGCAAGCAGTGTAAGCACTTGAATTTCTTATTCATCCTACATACAGTATAGCTAAGACAGGGAAAAGGAGAAGCAGCGCCATCATTTTTTGCTGACAAGGAACATGCTGGTAGAAAGAGAGAGCAGACAAATGAGTTCATCAGTGTCATTATTCTCTAACTGTCCAGTCACTGGCATGAAGTAAGGACAAAACTTAGTTGCACTACTGAACAACAGAAAAAAGCCAGTTTGGCAGAGCTGCGTAAATCTTAGAACTTGATCGACAGAAATAAAACCGTTTGGCAGGTAAAACTGCCCCATATATGTATTTCATCTCTAAAAATGTTTTAGTTCCCCTGACAGTCATCTTTAACTACCTGCCGACCGCAGATAGCCGAATGACGGCTGCACTGTGGCCGGCCAGTTCTGGGTGGACGTTATATGGCGTCCTCCCAGAACGCGCTCTCCTGCGCGCCCCCGGCGATCTCCGTGATCTCTGTGTCCTATGGACACAGCTGATCACGTGACGTGGTAAAAGGCCAATCACAGCGGCCTTTTACCACGTGATCAGCCGTGTCCAATGACACGCTGATCACCGGGAAATGCAAATGCCGGTTGTCGGCTGCACTTTCTTTACTCTGTCAGATCGTGAGGAAAGTGCTGCCGAAAACCGGCAGTTGTCAGAGCGGGGATCGGCACCGATCATCAGGGTCACTGATCATCAGTGCCCAGCAGTGCCACACACAAGTTCCGCCCACCTGTGCCCAGCATTGCGCCCACCTGTGCCACCCAGCAGTGTCACCACCTGTGCCCAGAAGTGCCACCTACCTGTGCCCAGTAGTGCCACCCACCTGTGCCCACCAGTGCCACCCATCAGTTAAGCCCAGCGGTTGTGCCAGTCAGTGCGCAGCAGTGCCGCTAGTCAGTGCCCAGCAGTGATGTCAGTGCCACCTATCAGTGCTGTCTATCAGTACCCATTATCAGTGTCGCCTATCAGTGCCACCAATCAGTGCCGCATATCAGTGCCACCTATCCGTGACACTTCATTAGTGCTGCCTATCAGTGCAGCCTATCCGTGCCACCTCATTTGTGCTGCCTATCAGTGCCGCCTATCAGTGCCCTTCAGTGCTGCCTCATCAACGCACATCAGTGAAGGAGAAAAATTACCTGTTTGAAAAATTTTATATAATAGAAACAAAGAAACTTTTTTTTTTTTTCAAATTTTTTTGCACTTTTTTCCCTTATATTACAAAAAGTAAAGTGCCCAGCAGCGATTAAATACCACCAAAAGAAAGCTCTATTTGTGAGAAAAAAATTATAAAAATTTCATATGGGTACAATCTTGCATGACCGCGCAATTGTCAATCAAAGTTCGACAGCACTGAAAGCTGAAAATTGGCCTGGTAAATAAGGGGGTATAAGTGCCCGGTAGGCAAGTGGTTAAAGATAGAGATAGATAGAGATAGAGATATATATATATATATATATATATATATATATATATATATATATATATATATATATATATATATATATAAAATTTTTTTTTTTTTTTACACGAGTTAAAAAGCAGACTGATACAGTACATGCGCTACCATTACCGAGTGGTCAGCAGCAAAAAAAAAAAAAAAATCAGTTTTTGGTCATTTTCCTGTCACACTTTGTAGCACTGTATGTTTGTGTGTAAGTTTCTTTAAATCACAATATAGAAGGTAAAAATTAAAATATTATTTTAAGGTAATTGGCTGCAATAAAGAATGGATGAGCTTTTTTTCAAATCTGTGCACTTTATAATTTTAAGGACAACTTTTCCACAGCTTTGTGTGGTTTAACTGATAAGGCTTCTCAGATTTCTTAATCCAGAAACTGTATTTAAGAGGCAACTACAGCCGCATCTTACAATGGTTGCACATTTTCTGATGTGCAGATTTTTAACATCCAACTGCAGTGCTTTGAGTACATGGACTCAGATTTTAATTTTGAGGTACATTTTTCTGTTTTACAGTAGGTTTAACATGTTTCTAAGTATTTTTGTATTTTATAATTTAAACAAGCATTTGTTTTTCAGGTAAAAAAAGCCAAAATGGAGGACTCCAATGAAGAACGTGTGAGGTCAGTAAATGTATGATTCGGGTGTATGTGTATATACATTTTTTCCATCCATAAAAGTTCTTCGTTTTGGGTGTATATAGTAATATACACAAATATCTAATAGAAAATGTATCTGTTTTCCTATTTTTTCCCACTTTATTACATATGTCTTTGTTTAGATTATAACACCAGTTTTCCAGATAATTTACATCAAGGTGCTTCACACAAATGTTTATAATAGTCTTTTGTTGTTTTTATTTTCTCTGTTGGTAGATTTTGTTGTTCAGATTTTTTAATTTTGGATCAGATATTTTTGTCAAATATGTTATCCATACAACATTAATTATAACAATGTGTTTTATGAAGAGTTGTATAGTAATTTGTATGTAATTTAACTTCCAACTTTTACTGCTGATGTATTATTAAATTGGCTATACACATGTATCTTTTCTAATTTGTAGAATAATATAAATATTGAAAAATGCTTGGTCATTTGAAAATGGGTTTTTACTTTTCTTTGCACCTTTTAGGCAGGAGGGAGTAGGAGTTTACTCAGTTGAGGTATAGATCTTAGACTATGAAACACTAGTTTAGTTTTAAAAATCCAATTAAACATGGACAGTTGGAGGCACATCGTTTTTAATTTATCTTCAGAGTTCCTGCAGTTGCTTTACCTACACATAGGGTCAGCGTGTCACATACAGTACCATTGGAATTTTTGATATTATATAGTAGTTTGACTATGTGTACTAGTATCTCTGCATGACCGGATACTACTCAAATCCTCCTGAATAGATTTTCATGTAGTCCATTTTATTTAATACTTTTCAGTAAAGTGAGTAATGGTGATCCTCCCAGTCAAAAAGGAGAACTGTCTTCTAACCGTACCATTCCTACTGGAAGTAAGTATTTTCATTTAAATTCATAGACTCCTAGTTTTTAACTTTTTAATTACAGATGTTACAATTACAGTACTAAAGTGTATATTTTGAAGACAATTTTTTTTTTTATAGAGAAAAGGCACCTTTAATGCTGATTGTTTGATAAGACAAAGCAAACAGCACTAATAACAGTGCAGTAATCACTGGAAGCCTAAAAGGATTTTGGCTTTTGTCCATTTACAACAATTAGAACCATAATAGATAATTGCAATATGATCACTGTGGGCTACTACAATTTGCAATGTTCTCTTTATTAAAGGGAATGTGTAGTGGTTTTCTGTATGTGTTTCTTTTGCCTATTATGGTCAGGACTACATTTTTTTTATCCCAACCAGACAGTACAGGACGCAGGCTGGATATTCATAGAATGCAAAAAATGGCTACTGTCCCAGTCTATAACTGGCTTTTACAACAAGGAAACACATGGACGGGCAACGCATGTAAAAAAAGAAAAGCGAGTACCCAGCTAAACTTTTTTTTTACATGCGTTGCCCGTCCATGTGTTCCTTGTTGTAAAAGCCAGTTATAGACTGGGGCAGTGGCAATTTTTTGTACTGTTGAATTGTAGGTGAGTGGGTGCACTGGACACCCTGGCTGCCATTGTGCTACATGCTGGGTGTCCAGCGCACTCCTGTGCCTTTTAAGGAGGGGTGGGCTCCCTCAGGTTCACAGTGGATAAATATGGTACCGCTCTCTAATCAATCATGCAACATCAAAACATAGCCTTAATCTGTGAAACAATAATATACCATAAATGTGCGTGTATATATTCAAATCAATCATTACAGTGCATAAAATCCATGTACTCATGCACGCTGCGTATTTAGTTAATATTCTGGTGGTGATCTTAGACTATATGGGAAATATCCTTTCTGCAGTGTAGTGCCAGTCTCCCAGCAGATGTAATACAAAATATGATACAATGTAATCTCCTCTGTGGCAAATTGAGTAATGGTGTGCAATAGAAACTGCACCATGGGTCAGTATGATAAACGGAATCCTTTCCTTCCTCAGCAAGCTGCTTGATCACATCCTCCTCGAATGGGACATATGAAAAAGAAGAAGAAATGCATAGTGTCTTATCTGGGGTATAAGGTTTTAATGTGTGTTGGTAATGCACTCACATGTAAGAAGATAAAGATGCGCTTTGTATATACATAAAGCCGCAGACAGCGGTAAGGTCAGCCTTGTAGGTGTGCCTGCGCACACTGTCAATACTCGCCGTTTCTCAGTGCGGATGCGTGGTGACGTCACTGCCCCTCCCCTACGCGTTACGCTACAGGGACTCGTAGCTTCCTCTGGGGGATGTAGTTTTTCTACATCCCCCAGAGGAAGCTACGAGTCCCTGTAGCGTAACGCGTAGGGGAGGGGCAGTGACGTCACCACGCATCCGCACTGAGAAACGGCGAGTATTGACAGTGTGCGCAGGCACACCTACAAGGCTGACCTTACCGCTGTCTGCGGCTTTATGTATATACAAAGCGCATCTTTATCTTCTTACGTGTGAGTGCATTACCAACGCACATTAAAACCTTATACCCCAGATAAGACACTATGCATTTCTTCTTTTTTTTTCATGTCCCATTCGAGGAGGATGTGATCAAGCAGCTTGCTGAGGAAGGAAAGGATTCCGTTTATCATACTGACCCATGGTGCAGTTTCTATTGCACACCATTACTCAATTTGTCACAGAGGAGAGTACATTGTATCATATTTTGTATTACATCTGCTGGGAGACTGGCACTACACTGCAGAAAGGATTTTTCCCATATAGTCTAAGATCACCACCGGAATATTAACTAAATACTCAACGTGCATGAGTACATGGATTTTATGCACTGTAATGATTGATTTGAGTATATACACGCACATTTATGGTATATTATTGTTTTCACAGATTAAAGCTATGTTTTGCTGTTGCATGATTGATTAGAGCGCGGTACCATATTTATCCACTGTTTATCTTTTGATGCACACCAAGTGAGGGTGAGCAAGGAAGCCGGCGATCTAATATATTGTATATAGAGATACATGTGAGCACCTTCCAGTGGCTCACAAGTAATTGCACAAGTTTTTCAGATCTCCCTCAGGTTCACCTGCCCTTGGTTTATCCATTAAATGCATGTGCCTCTACTATAAGGGCTCTCAAAATTTGTAGAGTTAGGACCACAGAATATCTGGGTGCCGTGACGTGGCTCTGTGGCTTACGTATGTATTTGCAAATGTGTGCTAACTAAACCCCTGTTTTTAACGCATACTGTTAAATAGGTTAATTCAGTTGTTGGCAAGCTGGCTGGCAAGCTTCGATATTCATAGACTTTAAGTTTTATAGGCTGCTACCTTCAGTAGATTGGACACTGGCAAAGCTTTTGGACATGCCCCCCTTTTGCGTACCCCTATAACCTTACCCACTCTGTGAGACTGCAGTTTTTGCCCGTGTCCTGTAGATGATGGGACCACCAACTTCTGCCCAGATACATTATGGGCTACTCAGGCACTTCCTTGGTCTTTTTGCCATGAGGACTTCACTACAGGGCGGTTGATATCTGAGTGTATATCCTTCTCTGACCACACCTACACCATTTCCACACCTTAGTTCATAAATACTTCAGAGAGGAATACCCTTACTCCTAGCAATGGCGGAAACCAGGCGCAGGCAAATCCCAGTAAAAGCTCAAGCAAAGATTTATTCTGCCATTTGCTTCAAAGCACTAAAATCGCTACAAGTGATATTGCTTGTCTTGTATTGGAGCAAGACCCTATTTTTACATCACTTGCTGGATCCATTACAAGCTGTATCTCAGGCACACAACAGGGTAGCCTATGTGATCAGGGCAGATTTCTCTGCAACTATCAGAATTTTTCAGACAACTAATGGGCTTAATTCAGCCGTCACTGTCCAGAACCTGAAAGCGCTAGGCTTCTTCCCCAACTTTTCTAGCTCAGTCAGAAGTGTCTACCTCCTTTAGAAAAGATAGACATTTTTAAAGAATACCCAGAATGTAGTGTTAGAAGAGGCTACAGAAGATTTCTCACTCCCATCCTTTCATACACCTGATGCTATTACTTGATGCAATATTCTTTGCAGATAGTGTAGATATGGTCATGCAAAAGCCTCAGTATAGTCACACTTTACTCTCTCCAGTCTCGCTAAGCTTCCATGGGAACTAGGAGACCTAAACAGTCAAAAAAAAACATTTCCCATTTATGAATAAATAGAATGGGCAATGTAGGACGATTAGTTTTCTCCTGAAAAGGTTTTCACACCTCTGCGAATCATTGCTGAGCTTTATTCATTGGAAAAATAAAAATGGACTGCGCTGCTGTCTGTCTTAAACAAACATCTTACTCTGCCTATAGAAGATGTTACTTCATTCATGGATCCTGCAGACAGGAAAATTGAGACCATTTTAAAGGCTCTCTTTTTCCCTTGCAGGCCCAGCCCTCCAACCAGCTATTGCTGCATTCTCTGTTTGTCAGACTGCCGCTGATTGGGCAATGAACACTCAACAAGATCCTGTCTTTGAGGACTGAACTTTGGTGGAACACTTACAAAACCTGCCTTCCTCATCATTTTGTGTTCATAAGCTAGAACATGTTATGACACAAATTTCCAGAATGGCCTTTTTCTGTTCATGACTCATTTGTATGCTGGCACTTGAAAAAATTTATCACAGGGGAAAAGGCTCCAAAACCTCCCTCTTCAGGGGCTTCTAGCTCTTCAAAACACAGAGTGTCTCCCTGCTCTCCTCAGGCTTCATCTTTAAAGCCAAAATTCAGCTCTTTTTTTCTTTGGCTGGTACTATTACAGTACTTGTTCCTTTTGGTCCCAGACCCAACAGTGGATTCAAAGGGGTACAAAATAGAGTTCGAGGGTCTGCCCTCGTTTACTTTTCACAAACCATCCAAAATCTGCACAAATACAGTCAGATTTACAAACTGTCCCAAAAACCATGTTCACTATAGGAAACCCAACGGGGTAGTCACCCTTATCTGGACCTAAAATCCCTCTGCAATCACCTTTTTTCATTCACAAGTTTCACATGGAATCTGCAAGGTCAGTTATTGCCTCTTTAGTACATTAGTAGACATTCAAGATGCCTACCTCTATAATTCCCATTTACACGCCTCTTATTAACTTTATGCACTTTGCAATAAGACACAAACACTTCCAATTTGTCACAATGCTGTTCAGCCTATCCTCTGCACCCAGATTATTCACAAAGGTGCTTGCACCCCTTCTTGCCCTCTTAAGAACTCAGAGCATCCAATTCACTGGGTACATAGATAACCTTCTTGTGAAGAATTCAGATCGATTACAACTATCTGCAAATGTCTAACAGACTAACCAGATTCTTCAGACATTGGAAACTGATTACCCAACCAAAAGTCTGAAGAATTTGAATGAGGTGGCCATGAGGCCTAGGACTCTCATGGAGAATTTCACAGGATTCTTTTTTGATCCTGAGCATGGGACCTTAGAAAGAAAAGTGTCTTTGGTGGTAGGAATACCTTTGCCTGGACTTTGTCTAGGATGAGACCTGAATATTCCAGATGCAAGGAAGGATGAACTTCCAATTCCACTGTTGCCAGGTGGATAAGACAGCTCATTGTTAAAGCCTATATTCTAAAAGATATGGTAGCTCCAGTACCGTTACATGCTCACTGCACCAGATCCATTCCGCTACCTGGCGACTGCTGCTCAGCTCTGTAAGGCTGCCACCTGGTCTTCAGTTCACACTTTCTCCAAGTTCTACAAGATGGATGTCCAGACCTCTGTGGGTGCAGCTTTTGGCTACAAGGTTCTTTCAGCAGGACTCTAAAGTTGCATCTTGGTACAGTTCTGTTTGCCATGTTGTTGCCCACCATTCCATGCTGTTGCCCCCCCACCCGCACACAGTACCAAGGGAAAACATGCACAGGTGAGGCTGTCAGTCACCTGCTGTGTGCTGGGGGGGGGGTTTGGCAGGGCCATCATCTGGGATTGTCTGGTGTAAGTCTAACGGCTTAAAAGTGCCTCATGCAGATAGCAGAGGATTGACGAAGCAGAGGGAAATTACACTTGGTGTTTTTAATTAAGACAAGTACACACAATCAGAGGAAATGCTTTGTTAATTTTTTCATGTCAGATTGTTACAACCACTTTAAGGGCCAGTTCACACCAGGAATCGTAGAGGAATGCGCTGTGCATTCCTGTGCAATTCCCATGCAGTTCTACATGGTATGATTTCAGCACGTTTGTTTTGAATGGGCTGAAATCGCACCCCAAAAGTAGCGCATGCACTACTGTAGGAAACTTATTGCAATCGCATTGCATAGTGCTCCTGTACCATGCCATCGGGTGTGGGGAAATGCACTGCATTTGGGGTTTCAATAACTTAAAATTGACACCTGCTGCAGATCGTAACTACTTCGTTTTGAACGCAGTGCAGGAAATGTGCATGGAATACAGGTTTACCATACCGCATTCTGGCGTTAACTGGCCCAAATGTTTATTAATTATAAGGATAGGGAAAAAAAAGGAACACTATCCCATAATACAATACAAAATAATAAGAAACTTTTGGTCCAAATAATATTTTGGATGGTCTTTTTAAATGGGCAGTTATGAAGTGAAAATTACTGAGTATTTTGTAACTTTTACTGGACCCCCCATAATTGTTCTACTGTATTTAAACTAATTAACAACATAACCCATGAAGAGGAGCAGGCAAAGATCACACTATCTTGTCAGCCAATTTTTCTTTTTTTTTCCTGGTCTGTAGACTGCATTAAAATGGTGAGCTGGATCTAAAATTCTAATTTGTGCATATGTACCTTCCTGTCTGTAAATTGCATTAGAGAGGAGGTATCTAGATTTTGTTTTTTATCTGTAATGTGTTTTTCTTTCTGCAGTCCTTCCGTGTGCTGACTATATGGTCCGAACTCCTGGTGATTATACCTCTCAGTTGTATCAAGCTAAGTAAGTCTGTTCTCCTATTACTATTCATGACTGTGTATTCTACTGTGGAACGTTTGTTGCATTATACAGTTGTGCTCAAAAGTTTGCATACCCTGGCAGAAATTGTGAAATTTTGGCATTGATCTTAAAAATATGACTGATCATGCAAAAAATGCTCTGTTATTGAAGGATGATGATCATATGAAGCCATTTCTTATCAAATAGTTTTGTCTCCTTTTTAAATCATAATGATAACAGAAATCTCTCAAATGGCCATGATCAAAAGTTTACATACCCTAGAATGTTTGGCCTTGGTACAGACACACAAGGTGACACACACAGGTTAAAATGCCAAATAGAGGTTAATGTCCCACATCTGTGGCTTTTTAAATTGCAATTAGTGTCAGTGTATATATAGTCAATGAGATTGTTAGCTCTTACATGGAAGCACTGACTAGGCTAGATACTGAGCCATGGAGATCAGAAAAGAACTTTCAAAAGTCCTGTGTACCAAGGTAAAGGAACTTTATAAAGATGGAAAATAACATAAAAAAAGATGTCCAAAGCCTTGAATATGCCAATCAGCACTGTTAAATCACCTATTAAGAAATGGAAAGTTCAGGGATCTCTTGATACCTCGCCAAGGTCAGGTAGATCAAGAAAGATTGCAGCCATAACTGACAGAAGAATTGTCCGGGATTCAAACAAAAAACCCACAGGCAACCTCAAAAGAAATACAGGCTGCTCTGGAAAAATTGAAAAAGTGTGATTGTTTCGAAGGAGCATAATATGATGACACTTCAACAAAATTGAGCTGCATGGTTGAGGTGCTAGAAAGAAGCCTTTACTGCATCAATGACACAAAGGCCTGGTTAGGCATGTCAAGGTGTTGTCAGGCATATTGTAACTGGGCTTTTTTTGTGGCATTGGTGCAGTAAAAGCTTCTTTCTGGCACCTCAACCAAACAGCTCATTTTTGTTCAAGTATAACTGTATTGTACATCTTAAAAACAACCACACCATCTTTTTCCAGAACAGCCTGTATTTTTTTTGAAGTTGCCTGTGGGTTTTTCTTTGAATCCCAGACAATTCTGTCGGTTATGGCTGCAATCTTTCTTGGTCTACCTGGCCTTGGCTTGGTATCAAGATATCCCCAAACTTTCCACTTCTTAATAGGTGATTTACCAGTGCTGATTGGCATATTCAAGGCTTTGGACATCTTTTTAGGTTATTTTCCATCTTTTTATAAAGTTCCTTTTACCTTGTTACGCAGGACTTTTGACAGTTCTTTTCTGATTCCCGTGGCTCAGTATCTAGCCTAGTCAGTGCTTCCACGTGCTAACAAACTCATTGACTATTTATACACTGACACTAATTGCAATTTAAAAAGCCACAGATGTGGGACATTAACCTCTAATTTGCATTTTAACCCGTGTGTGTCACCTTGTGTGTCTGTACCAAGGGCAAACATTCTAGGGTATGTAAACTTTTGCTCATGGTCATTTGGGTGATTTCTGTTATTATGATTTAAAAAGGAGCCAAACAACTATTTGATAATAAATGGCTTCATATGATCATCATCCTTCAATAAAAGAGCATTTTTTGGCATGATCAGTCATATTTTCAACATCAATACCAAAATTTCACAATTGCTGCTAGGGTATGTAAACTTTTGTGCACAACTGTATAATGATATTTTTGAATTTCATAAATATCAGATGTGTTTGATAATAAAGTATACAAAGGTGGGCTAGTAAGTTTGGAAGGTATTTAATTGTTTAATTATGCACTCTGCTTGGATTTTTGTTTTATTATGGTGATCATAGAAATATAGGGGGGAATTAACAAAGCATGGCACAGGCACAAAGCCTGCACCCCTCTTATAAATGGGAAAAAAGCAAGCAGGTGCTACTTTTAATGGAAAAAAAAAAAAGGGACACAGATCCCTTTTTGTTAATTAGGATCAATTTGCTCTGTCTTCTATTTTGTGTCTGTGCTAGACACTACAGTATAGGAGAACTTCGTATTCTACAATTATATGTCCCTTGTGCTGATTTTTCTTTCTTACTTTGGCTGCACTTATGCTTTAAAGATAATATTTTTGACTTGATAGACAAAATTAAATAATTTGTTTGTGCATTTGGCACATTTTGTGTTGTTTTCTAGGCCGTATACACACATTCTTTCTGTACCAGTAGCAGAAACAATTCCAGCATACACTGGGCAGACTCAGTATCAATCCTTGCAGCCATCTCAGCCATATACAGTATACCCTCAGGCAACACAAACATACGGTCTACCTCCATTTGGTAAGTGTTTGTTTTTTTTCTGATGTTTTTTGACTTGGAACACCTTTTTACCTTTTGTCATATCTTTGCTGCTTGTCTAATTACCTTAGGTTAGACTGTAAGGGGAATAATTGTGTTTTAAAATCAAACGCAAAGACTTGTACTAAAGCACAGTATATGTGATTCACACAAGCGTACTACAATGTACCCCTGTGCGAGGGCCTTGTTTGCCTGCACAGGGTTTTCACAGGTGTTTCATGCAGGCGGTCTCATTCATGTCAATTGGGACGCAGTGGCTGCTCCCAATTTGAAGCTATGCAGGTGCACAGGCATGAATGCACACTGTGTGCATTCAGGGTTGTGCACCCACATCTGCATGGCTGTCCATGCAGCCACAACTTCCAAATTGACGTGAATAGGACTTGCTGCATAGGGATGCACGGAACAGCCTGTGCATCCCCTGCAGGCAAATGTGGCCCTTGCATAGGTGTACGCTGTAGTATGCCCGTGCAAATGAGGCCTTAATGCGCATAGTAATGATATTACTGTGATTTTAGTATTCTGTTGGATAGAATAGGAAGACAGCTTTGCAGCTGTGGTTGGATAACTATTCTAAAAATGAAGACTAATCAAGATATTATGGATGCATACTTTGTTTTTTATAGTCAATTTATACTGTATTAACTGTCAACCTCTATCTTGACCTTGCAAGTACACTGTATAATTAGAGACACTGAAAGGAACTATGGCCTCAGGCATTCAGCAAATTCAGACTTTGAGGGTTAACATTCAGGCAGGGCTGATAAGTTTGTGCTCTGGAAAAATTCTGATAGTCCATATACAGTACATATAGGATTAGGTGTAGATTTTATATGTATATACCAAGTCACCAGCCTATGTTCATATTCTTTTATTTCTCCAAAAGGTTGGCATTCTTATGCCTCTGACAGTAGTGTTCAATGAACCTCTGGCACAGTTCTGGCCCTTAGCCTGGTTGATATTCAGTCCTTCAAAAAAACTCAAATGGAGTGGCAGGGAATTTCATGTCTCTGTGTATCCTGCCATGCTATGTAACACACTTTTTTCTTTACACTTCACATAGCAGTGCTTTAAGAGTTTACCCTTGTTCATTTTTCTGTTTTCAGGTGCCTTGTGGCCAGGAGTCAAGTCTGAAAATGGCTTAATCCAGACACTAAACCCCCCAACAGTTTTGACATGCTCCTCAGGAGTTACCAACAGCCAAACCAGCTCTGTACTATATTCCTACCCTGTACAAGGTAAAATATTTTCTTTACTATTGGCTGTGAGTATAAAAATAAGTTGATCATATCGCTTGCAAAACTTGGGAAATTACATTAAAATAAATTTATCAGTTATAGAAGATTGAACTTGTATGTAATAAATTAAATGCTGTGCATAGCTATATAAAAGCCAGATTTTTTTTATTGTACATCACAGGACACAGAGGTGTTAATAGTCTTTATTACATGGGTTATATTGCCACTTTCAGGTGAATGGACCCTGGCCAGAATAAAAAAAGGCAGAAGTCGCCACCCAGGCATAAGCCGCATATATGCGCTAGTGTTACGGATGCTTTACTGAATCTCTCTGGGACTTTGTTCCTGCATCTCTGGCCCTGTTCCTAACATCCCTATCTGGTCAGAGTTGGGCCCTCTTCCCAACTGGTCACTATGGCCAGTAAGGCAAGAGTGACTGTACCCAGACCCTGCATCAAGAGTGGGGACGACCTATAATGTCTGCTGTTTGGTGCTGGATCCACATTGAGTGGCCACCACTTGAGGGAGGCCTCTTACTCGCAAATCCTTGGATGCCTGCATCCAAAAGAAGACTGTGGGGTAGAGTACTTTCTTATCTCTAAAGAAGAAGGCAAATATTACAGATTAAAAGCCAGTAGTGCCTTCAGAGGAGTGTCATTGTAAGCAACCATCCTTGGGCTCTAAATTAAAGCACACACCACATTCCAGTTTCATAAGGACTTGAATCCCTAGCCCTCCAGTCCATCCTTCTCTCAGTGAAGGGACGCCCACACTCGCTCGGGTGGGTGTACACCTAAGGATCTTTGTAGCCACTTCATCTGAAGTTATTTCAAAGGACTGGATCTGCAGCATGTTGTCCAGAGGATACAAGTTGGAATTTCTTTTCTTTCCTTCTTCACACTTTGTGCTCAAGTGTGCCTTCAGAACCATGAAAAAGAGTGGTTTCTTTGTAGCCCTGGAAAGACTGCTGTGCCAAGGGGTTATTGCCCCTGTTCTGTTAGCTTGGATTAATAGCTTTGAGACCTCTCTTCTGTTTTAAGGTTCCTAAGCCACAGATGCCCAACCTATCCTAGACCTCAAAATTTTGAACACGTTCCTGAAAATGTATACATTCAGGATGGAGTCTTCCCAGTTGGTGATTGGTCCACTTCATCAGGGGGACTCCCTGGTGTCAGTTGACATCAAAGATGCCAGCCTACACCAATTTTCCATCATCACCAATGATTTCTACACTTTTGCAGTGGAGGATCATCACTATCGGTTTGTGACATTACCCTTTGGCCTGTCTACGGTCCTCAGAATGTTGCCACGGTGTTGACTCTGGTGCAGGAGTTGTTGAGAACCCAAGGGATTCCCAGTGTGGGATACTTGGATGACTTCTATGACAGCAATTGCTCTGAAGGTTGACGCAGATGGGTACAAGCCCTATAGAGGTTCGGCTGGCTGCTAAACCTTCAGAAGTCGACATTGATTCTGAGCTCATGCCTCGAACACTTTGGTTTAATCCTGGTTATTTGGGGATATATTTTGGGCAAGTATATTGCTTCTGCAGGATTCGGTCTCTTTGAGCCCAGGTGAAGTCTCTATGAACATTGGACATGCCAGAGAATGCTAGAGAAGATGGTACACATCTCCATAGCTCTGCAGCGCAATATATTGGCGGTATGAGACCAGTATCAGGAGTTCTTGGATCTGGAATGGTGGATATCCGCACAGATGCTGGATAATCCTTCCTTCCACTGAAGCTTAAGGTCTTGAAGACTTACTCCAGCCTGTCAGGCTGGGCAAATGTTCAGGAGAACAGATAGCGTGGTTGCCAGAGGAACGGAAGTTAACAATCAACACTTTTAAGCTTTGGGCAGTTCGGCTGGCCTTTTCACGGAGGATTGTCTGCCTTCAGGGTCTGCCTGTAAGGGTTAAGTCATACAAACAATATTGGTGAAGCGCTTCACATATAAAACTCGATGTGTATATTACAATGATATTAAATGAGCATTAACTAGCCACACTGTATAAATAAATGAAATAAGTGAATTAACTCATACCTAATATTGCCCAAATATATGGATACCAAGTGCTAAAGTGCAAACAGGTCATGCAATTGCTGACTTATATTATTAGTGCCAAAATAAAATTCTTACGAGGTAAAAGATAAATGCAACGAAATATATTGCACACTCTAGATAAAAGTGACAAGTGCTCTAACTAGAAAATTAATATAAATATGGGTCAAAAAAGAGTCCATAATAAAGTGCAATAATAGGTGCTTGACAGTTGATGTGCGAAAAACACGATATCAGTGCTTCAATTCTTCACTCTAAAACACGATGCGTGTTAACGTGCCACGTGTGCATCTTAATCCGAAAGTGGCTAAAGTGCCTCCTCACCTTATCTATGCGACCCCTAAGGGCAACAACGCTTTAAGCAATAGTGCTCCACACAACTAGAGATCTCTGTTAATTGGCTCCTGTAGTACCACTCAGCCTCCTCTGCCAGGTCACTTTTGCCCTCAGATGGTTACATCAGGAGTATCATAAGGCCGAGAAGAGGTAAACAAAGAGAGCCTCCATAGTGAAGTACGGTTTATTCCAATAGCAGACAAAATAAGCCAAAAGGAACACTCACAGTATTTGCAGGTATCATACAGCGGTTTCCCATGTGCTGTGGGTGTACTGCTGGATCCTGAAAAAGCCACGTGACATCATGGAGTAACGCGTAGAGCGCGGTGACGCACTTCCGGAAACGCACATCCGGTAGACGCCATCTTTAGACACCCAGGACCCTGCAGTACACCCACAGCACATGGGAAACCGCTGTATGATACCTGCAAATACTGTGAGTGTTCCTTTTTGGCAATATTAAGTATGAGTTAATTCACTTATTTCGTTTATTTATACAGTGTGGCTAGTTTATGTGCATTTAATATCATTGTATTATACACATCGAGTTTTATATGTGAAACGCTTCACCAATATTGTTTGTTACATATCCTGAGGTATTGGGAATAGGTGGTAGCAACTTGCAACAATCTAGGGTTTTGTCTGTTTTTTCCAGTGGAGCGCAGGGGGAATAGTTTTATATTTATAAGTCATACAAACGCCACTGCAGTGGCATACATCAGCCATCAAGGAGGGACAAGAAGTTGTATTGCTCAGAAGCTGACTTTTTGTCTTGGGCAGAACTGCATGTTCCAGCCATCTCTGCTGTCTACGTTCCTGGCGTGGAAGATTAACCGGCACATTTTTTTTTTAATCATTACCAGCTGATTCTGGGGAAATGGGACACTTGTTTGCAGATATTTGTCTTCAGTGGGGTGGAAGAGGGGGGGGGTGCCAGATTTGGATCTCTTAGCTTCTAGATTAAGCAACAAACTGGACAAGTTTGTATCCTGCACCAGGGATCCTGTGGCCATTCCAGTGGATGCACTTGTGACTCCCTGGGATCATTATTGTCTGATCTATTCTTTCCCTTCACTTCAACTCCTTCCTCCCCTTGTTACACAGGGTAAAGGTGGAGGACATTTTGGAGATCTTGATAGCACCGTCCTGGTCAAGTAGATTGTGGTATGCAAACATCATAGACCTCTTGGCTCTTCCAGATCGGCCAAACATGCTGTCTCAGGGTCCAGTATTCTGTCTTGTTTAACTGCTTCCCATCCTTAGGACATACCTGTACATCCTTGAATGGGAGCGGTGATATCTGGGTCATGGCTGCAGCTGTAGGCATGATCCAGATATTGTTTTATTTAGCCAATGATTCCCTACAATGTAAAAGTGATCCAACCAGCCATACAGCCGCCTGATCTCTTTTACAGGTGCTGGAAGGGCTATCCTGTCCCACGTGGAAGACCAGTACAGATGTGAACTGTCAAATTGGATGCCCTAGACACAGTGAGAGGAACTTCTGTTTTTCCTCTCCCTCTGTGACATCAGAAACCAGAAGAGACAAAGATATCACTTCCGGTTTTGGTTTGTTTGTTTTGTTTATAAGCCATTGTGCTTTGAAGGGCAGAGGAGAGATCTGGAATCTAATAAACCCCAGATCTCTCCATAAAGAGGACCTGTCAAAGACCATGCTATCACAAGGGATGTGAGCAAGAATTCTATCACCAGAACTACAGTGTAACTGGTAACCTGTAGATAACAGACCCATTGTCCCCAGCTCTAAAACACCAGCTTTTCCAGGTATTTCTGTATAGAGATTGGGACTGTCCTGATAAGTTGTTTGCTCCTTCCAATGTCTATACACAGACAACAAGTTAAAAAAAATAATAGGGCAGACTTGATTAACCACTTGTTTTATTTTTTGTTTTTTTTTGCCGTTAGTCTTCTATGTTTCTGTGTTTCTACATTTGAGTTGTCACGGATTGCTAAAAGCCTCCAAACTCATTTCCTGCACGTCTTCCACTGGTACATATTGTATGCATAGGGCACTTGGGCTAAAGTGCTGGACTGTGGGACATTTGTGCAAGAAGCTTTTGATCTGCATGGCCTTCGAAAGTCCACATCTCTTCCATGCAGCTTTTGAGAATACTATAAAGAATGTTACTGGCAAGGGCACCCATCATTTTTAGCGTGAGATGCCATAGGAACAGACTGCAAACTCTTCTTCCTCTCTGACTGTTGTATCCTGGTTTCATTTCCAAATTTCACGCTTCCGCACTTTGGCTTCTCACTCCAATCTTCCTATGTAATTGCACAGATTATCACACTTCCAGTCATCTTGGATTTTCAGGACCAAGGTGTCATTGCCCCAGTTCCTATGGAAGAACCATCTTAGGGATTTAATCTAACCTATTCACAGTTCCCACATCCAAAGGGGACATGCGCCTCATCTTGGATCTCAAAGCTCTAAATATCTTTGTTCGGGTCTAGAAATGCACCAAATGTAATTTCCCCTTTTTACCAGGGAGACTTTTTGACTTCTGTGGATGTCAAGGATACTTACCTTCATGTCCCTTTTTTTTTTGCTAGCGCATCACTTTTTGCCACACTTTGCTGTGGGACCCCTGCTCTACCAGTTTATGGCCCTGACCTCTCCTCTGCACTAAGGTTCCTGGCACCAGTATTAGCCCTTCTGTGCAGTTTTGACATCTCCATTGTGGAATACTTAGATGAGCTTCTATTGAAGGAACAGTTAGTGCAGGATCTGTCAGATAATGTGTCTCTATCTGTGCAGACTACCGCTTCCCTGTCTGAACACCGTCCACGGACCCCACCGCTGACCATACAAGACTAGACGACACCAGTCTTGAAGGAAACCATGACATAGACTCCTTTTATTTTAACACAGATACAAGATATATACATTCTAGGAAACAAAACCCCCCCCCCCCCCCTGCATAATGACACAGAGCGGGGCAAACCACATCTAGCAACAAGAGCCACATCAGCAGACACCCCCCACCAAGCCAATACATAAACACATACATCCCATAATATTTTGCGCCTAAGCAAGACACACAATAGAACCATGGGATGCAACCACATGGCATTAAACAATGATCAACCCCGCACCCCAAAATTAGGACAGATCACCCTGTACCTCTAACAGGCACAGGGTGACTTACACATAGGAGGGATATGGGGAGCTGAGACAGGGGTCTTCCCACCCCTCCAAAGTGAGCTGGGTTCCAATCGGCCCCCCACCCAAAGTGACTCCCGACACACCATCTTTCAAAGGATCCTCATGATGGATGCCATCCTTTCAGGCTGGGGAGGAGTCCTGTACACCTTGTTGGTGCAGGGGATTTGATTGTTAGTCTTGTCTCTCATTTATCATCCTGGCATTTTGGGCAATGTGGCTGTCTCTGCAGTTGGACATTGCTACAACTGTGGCATATATCAATCATTAGGGGGGAACCAGACGTTTTGCTGTGGCAAGATAGGTATATTTAATCCTGTCCTTTTTAGTAACTTTGTTCCAGCTCTGTCCCCTATGCACAATCCAGGTGTAGACATTTGGCAGGCAGATTTCCTCAACTGGCAAAGCCTGGATCTGGGTAAGTGGTCCCTACAGTAAGGGGGGTTGCAGGGCATGTGTTGTAGGTGGGAGACTTCGGATATGGACTTCTTGGGCTACAAGTTCAACGACAAACTCGACAGGTTTGTCTCCAGGTACATGGATTTTCTAGCAGAAGCTGTGACTGTGCTGCCAGCTCCATGGGATTGATACACCCTGATCTATGCTTTTCATACCCTGAAACTTCTGCTTTGCGGGATTGTGATAAAGGGAATTCCTCTGATTCTGATATGGACTGCTCTAAGTGGGTGTGGTGTGCCAACCTGATATGACTCCTGGCAGATACTCTGGGTGCTCTGCAGACCAATTTTACCATCCTTCATAACAGTTGCTGGCTTTATTGGCATGGCTGTTGAAGCCCAAGTGCTGAGGAACGAGGAAAATTCTGAAACTGTTATTCCTACAGTTGGCGTGCGTCTCAGGGCTTCCACACCAAGAGTGAAACAAATAGTCTCCTTCTTCCAGCTGGCTTGGGACAAAGTGTTTGGCACTCGGCACGGGCCAGGTTTATGTCCTTTTTATTTGTATAGGGGAAGTCACCCTTGTAACTCCCTCTGTCCATTTCCCTTTGACTCTGGTTCTTTCTGCGCTTCAGAAGCCACCATTTGAACCTATTAGAGATATTCATTTCCCTACTCTTAAACGGTGTTGGTTCTTGCAGCTGTCACTTCTGCAAGGGAAGTATCTGAACTGGCAGTGTTATCCTGCAAGGAACCCTTTCTGATTTTGCATAGAAACATATGGTGTAGAGGACCTAGACTTCCTCCTTGCCTAAGGTATTGTCTTTCTTTTACCTCAACCAGGATATTGTTTTTGCATCCCTCTGCCTGGCTCCAGTTCACCAAAGAAATCTTCTCTGCATTGTGAAGTGGTTCAGGCTGTTCAAGTCTGTCTTTTAGTCACTGGCTTGTTTCAGGAAGACTGATTCTTTTTTCATCCTAGATGGACTCTGAAAGGGTGCACTGGTTTCTCATTCCACCAGCTCTAGGTGGGTTAGGCATACCATCATCCAAGCCTATGATTTTAAGGATTGGGTTCTACCTTTTTCTGTGAAGGCACACTCTACTAGATCTGTGGGTGCTTCTTGGCCTTCTCTGCATCAAGAAACTGTTTCCCAGATTTGCAAGGCTGCCACCTGAACTTCTGTTTACCTGTTCTCTATGTTCTATCAGGTGGACGTTTCGGCCTCCCATGATGTCCACATTGGGCGTAAGATCCTTCAAGCTGCAGCAGCCTCCAAATTTCTGTTGTATATTTTTGTTAGTGATTGTTTGCTGTGATGCCCACTCCTCAGTTGGAATGCTTTTGGATGTCCTGAAGATTAGAGATTTCTTGTGTCCTTCAATAGACAAAAAAGAAAATAGAATCTTTGTACTCACCATATAACCACTATATTGGAGTCCCTTGAGAGACACATTTCCCAACCTGCTTTGTTTATGATCATGCTCTCGTTACTGCTTTGTACAAAACTGTGGCATGCTGGTAGTTTGCAGGAGTTATCGTAGGCCAGTGTCCAAGCTTCCTGTAGGCAGCAGTATAACCCAAAATGCTGAAATCTTCCTGTGTCTCTCATTGGAGTCCAAGAAAAAGATTTTTATTGTGAATATAGTTTTTATGATAAGCTACGATCATTTTGTATGCAGGATATAGCTTTTTTTTTTTTAATTATAATGTCTTATTTTTCAACAACACTGTTTTCTCACAGCCTCTACTACAAATGCAATATCAAGCACATCACCATCAAACATCACAACCCCAACAGTTACCAGCATCTCAAACCAGGTAACATCTGTAACGTAACCTGAAAAGTTTTTTAGAACTGTGGCTTGAGTACATTCCCTTTTTTCCTCCATGTACAGTCATGGCCAAAAATATTGTCACACCTCCTTTTCTGTCAGGTAATGCACCACTTCGCCCAGAATATTGTTGCAGTTACAAACGTTTTGGCATTCTCATGTTTATTTTTGCATTGGAATTACACAAAAAAGTGGAGAAACAAAAAGCAAAATCTGACACATTCCACACAAAACCCCAAAAATTGACTGGACAAAATAATTGACCTTTTCTTAAAATTGTAAGAAATAATTGCATTCCAAGTTTTTGATGCTCCTGTAATTTGTAATTAAACTCACCTGTATCAATTAACAGGTACTGGCAATATAGAAAATCACACTGGCAACCAGTTAAAAATTGTGAAAAATTGATTCAACCTTTCTGTTGTGTATCTCTGTGTGCCACATGGAGAAGAGAGAGAGCAGCAAAAAAATTGTCTGAGGATTTGAGAACAAAAATTGTGGAAAAGCATGGATAATTTCAAGGTTACAAGTCCATCTCTAGAGATCTTACTGTTCCTGTGTCCACTGTGTGCAACATTGTCAAGACGTTTAGAGCCCATGGCACTGTAGCAATCTCCCTGGATATGGACGAAAGAGAAAAATTGATCAAAGATTGCAACAAAGGATTGTTTGAATGGTAAACAAAGAAACCTCAACCAACTTCCAGACAAATTCATGCTGACCTTCAGGCACAGGGTACAGCTATGTCAGCTTGCACTATATGTCACCATCTGAATGAAAAGGAATGTTATGGTAAGAGACCCAGGAGGACCCCATTGCTGACACAGAAACGTAAAAAAAGCCAGATTGGAGTTTGCCAAAACTTACTTGAGGAAGCCAAATTATTTTGGAAGAATGTGCTGTGGACAGAAGAAACAAAATTACAGATTTTTGGTAAAGCCCATCATTCTACTGTTTTCCGAAAAAGCAATGAGGCCTTTAAAGAAATGAATACAATCCCTACAGTCAAGCATGGTGAATGTTTTGGGGTTGCTTTGCTGCTTCAGGTACTGGATGTCTTGACTGTGGCATTAGAAATCTGAAGACTACCAAAGAATTCTGGTGTGCAATGTAGGGCCCAGTGTCAGAATGTGGGGTCTCTGTCAGAGGTCATTGGTCTTACAGCAGGACAATTACTCAAAGCACATATCAAAAAGCACCCAGAAATGGTTTAAGGGAAAGCACTGAAGAGTACTGAACTGGCCAGCAAAGAGTCCAGATCTCAGTCCCATAGAGCACCTGTGATGTGTAAACAATTACATGTTTTTTCCTGGAAAGCAGAGATCAACATTTTTTTTTTTTTTTTTTTTCGTCATTCTTTCCAGGGTAGAGGAAAGCTCTGGGGTCGTATAGACCCCAGATATCTCCATAAAGAGGACCTCTCATACCTTATTTTCTATCACAAGGGATGTTTACATACCTTCTCATAGGAATAAAAGTGATACAAAAAAAAAAATGAAAGGGACAATGTAATAAAAAAAAAATATATATAAAAAACATGTCAAAGCGCCCTCATTCCCCTGTGCTTGCGCACAGAAGCGAATGCATACAAAGGTTCACACCACATGTGAAGTATCAATGTGAACAATATACTGAGAGCAATAATTCTAGGGCTAGACCTCCTCTGTAACTCTCAACTGTGGTAACTTGTAAACATTTTTATAGCGTCGCCTATGGAGATTTTTAGGTACTGTATTTTGGGGCCATTCCACGAGCATGCGCAGTTGTAAAGCGTGCCATGTTGGGCATTTATTTACTCTGCGTAACATATTTTAGATTTTACCAAAAATTGGGTATTGTATTGGGGGGTTTTTTTTTGCGTTAAAATTCATTAAAGTATATTTTCCATAAAAATTGCATTTGATAAATCGCTGACATAAAAAAATTGCAACACCCACTGCTTAAAAAAAATATATATAATGTTTGGTGATTTGGTATAATTTTTCTAGTGCAAAAAAAAAGAAGCTTTTTACTTGTAGGAGAGAAATGCCAGAATTGGCCTGGGTGGGAAGTGGTTACACATGTGCAAAAAAAAAATGCAAAAACTGCTCTGGAAGGGAACGGGTTAAAGTAGTGGACACTGGAGCTTGATTTGGCTGCTCAGTATGCGCTTGTACTGAGCACCAAAGTGCTTCCGTGTGTGAGGGTAACCTGAAGGAATTAGGTTTGTTTGGGTTTTTTTTCCTCATTGGGGCTTTTTATGTAAAAAAGAGACAGCTATCTGAATTATAATGCTACTGAATTAGACAGTTTTATCGCTAGGTATTTTAGCTGTGTCCCTATTGCGTGATTTTCTGAAAAGTGACCATGTGCATGTATGGGTAAGTGACTGTGTGTGCCTATGTGCATGTATGGGTAAATGTGTAAAAAAAAAAAAAAAAAAAGTGGGTGCAGTTGTATGGATAAATGACTGTAGCTCTGCCTTACTGTCAAGTTTCACCACTTGGTGCACCACTTGGAGCCTGAACAGCCAGTTTCCTTGGAGGAGCTCTGAGCTCTGGGGGGTCTTCTACTACAAGTTGGATGCCGATAATTATGAGAGTGATCCAGAGCTGGCAAAGATCCGCAAAGACAATAATTACACATTCATGGATATTATCACCATACATAAAGACGCACTGCCAAATTATGAGCAGAAGATATGAGTCAATAAGCTTATATACTGGTGTCTGTCCGTGGAGGATAAGTGGAAGGAGGAGGAGTGAGTCTGTTTGGAGCCAAAAAAGTCACTTCTAACTTGGATAACTAGTAGGATCCTGGAGTGATCCAAAAGGCTTTTTGGCCCCTGCGGGTGAGTGGGCACGCTAGCCATTATAGGATTCTCACCCATCACCAGCACTTAGAAGTTGTGCATGATGTTTTGAGTTCCACATGGTCAAAACTGCTCTGCTTGTGGACATGTATCACCATTTACTACCAGTGTGTGTTGCAAGCACTATATTGAAGTTATTATCTGCACGTATATTATAATCACCTATACAGTGATATATATTTCACGATAAGGAATCACTGAGTGCTATAATCACCGAATATCTTTGTTTATTGTATAAATATTTTAATTGGTTCACAATAAGGTTAAGCACTTTTGGATATATGTTTTAATTTTAGCAGCGCTACACATATTACACATATTACACTACACATATCATTTATCCATCTAAAAGGAGAGGATCAGGTGTCAGCGGCAGCTCAGTAGATCAAATTGAAGATAGCCGCGCAGGAGTTTTTTACCGTTTTGTATATAAAGACTTAATATGGTTTTGGTTAAAATTATTTTTTGTTAATAGGACAAGTAGATTGGGACTTCAAATTGGTTCCTTGCACAAGTAGTTTTGTACAAAATTTCAACACCCCTGAGGACCCCGATCTGAAAGACCTGGAGCTGTTTGCGAAAAAAAGAGGCGTAGAAAAACTCATCAATGGTCACCTGAAGCGATTGATTTTAGTTATTTTTTTGCAAGGGGTGTGCTACCAAATATTACATTGAGGGTGCCAATTTTGTCCAGTCCACTTTTGCAGTTTTGCGTGAAATGTGTCATATTTGGCTTTTTGTTTCTCCATTTTTTTGTGTCATACCAATACAAACAAAAGAAATAAACATGAGAATGCCTAAACATTTGTTATTGCAACAGTTTTCTGGGCGAAGTGGTGCATTATCAGAAATGCAGGGGTGCCAATATTTTTACCCATGACTGTATGCTAAAATATGGAAGGCAGTAGATCTGGCTGCTTAAAACCAAACAAATGTCAGTACATGTGTGGTTTTTTTTTTTTTTTTTTTTTTTTTTTTAGGCTTACTGTGTAACTGTGTAACACAGATAATACCATAGAAGTGTCAATATGTGCAGCCATTGATGCCATATCTTTTTTTTTTTTTTTTTATCTTCATATAAAGGGCAATGCTCTTCACATTATGTCTACATTTTTGGCTTAATTAACAGCCAATGTGGGAGCACTTCAAAAGATAAGGGCCTGTCTCTTAAACTTACTCTGCCACAAAACAATAAAAAGCACCCTGTAAAAGAAGAGTACTGCTATTTGCCATTTTATTAATCATCTCTTTTTTGCAGAACTAAAATCTTCTGCATCCGACACTTTAGAGTGTGTTGGATGCCTACATCCCCCACTGCATGCTGTGGTTTCACCCTCTGGTCATTGTCACTTGTTTTTTCCCTGTAAGGTGCCAATTGGGACTGCGTTTATTCTGTATCATCAGGGCCGGATTTATGCTTTTTATTCCCCAGGCCATCTACCTTTTTGTTTCCCTCCCACCCACAACACGCTCGCACGCAGTGTACAGATTGAAAACTAATTTACAAAGACTTATACCAGTAGCAAGATCATGATCACAGAACTTGTGTCTTACACAAGCATATCCTTGGAGACTACATAAGTACTGTACTGATAAAACCAGAAAACTCAGCAGAGACACTTAGTATCGTTCTGTCATTCACTAATCACTGCAGTATTGAAGCAATCATAAATATGTCCACACAGAATTGGTGCCATAATGACACACCAGAAACATGCTCCATTCATTCACTTTGGGCCCCTCTGTTCTAAGGGCTCATGAAGCCTTCCTCCATTTGCACAGCAAACACTGACACATTTACTTGCATTGCAAGCTCCTCCTAATTCCTGTAAATTCATCAGGTGGGCTACAGGTCTGCGGGCTTTTGTTTATAAATTTCAGGGACCAGCTCATAAAACTGAAGGGAATCTTTTTGTAAATACCTTTTTTGGCTAATTTTACATGTTGTCACTTGACCGCTATTCAGCTCTTCACCCATTGGCTACAAGTGTGGGCCGGACGCTGCGATAATCGGCACCTTCTCCTGACATCACACATCCTGCATATAAATAAATATATGCACATACATATTATGCCAGATAAATATAATATTTGTGTTTTAGGAATAATATGGCCGCTTGGTCCACTCCACTACACAAATGTGCAGCTGCTCCTCAAACAGGAGCCAGTGTCACTTATCTTGTAAAAGGCTAGACGGCAGCAGACTGCCTATGGGGACTACAGGCATACCATGTGTCAGCATGGCATCCTGTAGCTCCCATTCTGAAAAAGAAGGAAGGACAATTGACCACACTAGCACAGATGTGCTAAGGTGTCTCCCATCCCTGCTAGTCCCTGGGTGTGGTCCTGTAGACAGGCAGGGAGGCAAGGAGTAGATAAACAGCACAATGTTAAAAAATATTACACGTTTAAGTTGCCATAAAGCCCCTTTTTGTTTTTAAAAGCCCCAGACATTCCTAAAAGCACCTGTGCCTAATAAACATCAATCCTTTGTATTTTTCATCCTGGCAAAGCCATTTCAAGGTTTAATGGGGCATGCGTCCATTGAAAATCCCTAGTGATAAAACCGTCTCATTCAGTAGTATAACAATTAAGACCTTTATTTAAATACGGTTTTGGTTAATTTTTTTTTTTTTTTCATCAGGACAAGTAGATTGGGAGATTGGGACCCCGATTTAGTCCTTGGACAAGTAGTTTTTCAAAAAATGTCCACTCCCCTGTAAGGGCTACCTGTTTACCTTTTTTTCACAGACTGAATAACCTCACTAATTGAACTCCACACTGCTATTATTTGGAATGTGTCCCCTTCCATTATCAATAATTCAATTGCACAGAATCCGAGGCATGCATGTCATGACTGTGGGGTTTGTTGGTTTTCTATAACTCTACTACACCTACTTGTAAATTATTTGCCATGTAGAAATATAATTTATACCAAAAACAGTGGTTGATCTGGTTAGTGATGTTGGACTGCTATTTTGAACACAAATGTAAATAAAAATAAATACTATGTGCTTTGTGAAGGAAAAAGAAAAAAAAAAGTAGTCCTCAACTATTGAAATTAAGGTTAACTTACAAAAAAAAAGTCTTTAGAGGGAAAAAAAAAAATCTATAAAACCTGCAAATAAAAATGCCTTAATGGAACAAAAACCAAAAATTGAAATATTGAAAGTAATTAAAAAAAAAAATCAAATTTCTAGTAACCCTTACAATAATACGTTCTAGCCACTGAAAATGTATACCTCTGACTGTTTCTCTCTTTTACTTTTATAGGAATATCCCACATATACCATCCTTGGACAAAATCAGTACCAGCATTGTTATCCAAACCAAAACTTCACAACAGTATCGCCCCCTGGCTCTACAGAAAGCAACCCTGTGACGCCAGATTTTCAAGAGACCAAGACAGACACTACTTCCCCTTTGCAGATACAAACACCAATTTCTGGTGTGTACATCATTTTATTTTCATTTGTATGGAGAAAGATATTGGAGAGTATAACAGGATAGCAATATGAACTAAGGTTACTTCAGACCCTATATGTTCAGGTCAAAAATAATTTAATGTTATAATGTTTTTGCTAAGCAAAAACCCAATAGCCACTGGCAAAACTTTAGTTGATACTCACTTGTTCCCTTTCTTTGGTTTACCTGTTCTGTGCCCAAATTACTTTTGAATTCTTTGCTAATAGCCCACACATTATTACTATACTAAATTTGTGCAGGGTCTTCTCAGTTCCAGTGATGTGCAAAAAGCACAATTTATCTTATACATTTGTCTTTACTTTCACTTTCTAAACGAACTGCATCTATAGTGCAATTGCAAAAAAGAAATAAATCCTCCTGCGCTCTTATGTAAATGGATAGAAATAAATATCGATACTAAAAAGCAGCTAACATCCAATCCCATACCATAAGGTCTATACACAATTTCAACAAACATGTTTGATAATATATAATAGACAGATCAGATAAATATATAATAGACAGATCAGATATAAAATCTAGAAATTAGACATAAAACTGAGCACACAGCAAGAGTGACCCCAATCCAAATGTGGATATATTAAACGTGACCTCCAAGTCCCTGATGGGACACAATAATAGCAAAAAAAAATTATGTGAATCCCTACTAGGGATCAGAACAGCACACTGTGAGACTCGCATCACACATAAAGTGACTTAAAAGTCCATAAATAAGTGTAGTGATCTTCCCGTTCATGCACGATGTGGATGTCAAACACCCTCAGTGTGATCCCCAACAGAATGGCTAGAATGGCCTCTCACCTCCACTTCATGACCCTGCAGGGCCACAAAGCAAAAAAAACTCCTCTAGGTCCTCAGAGTAGCCACTCTATCATTAGGATGATGCCAACAGGTAATAATTATTCACCATTCCATGGACTGGTTTGCAGGCAGCTTAGCACTCTCATAGATACCATAAATCATATGCCCATATAACAGAGAACAAAATCTCCATAGTGTAATACTGTTTAATGGCATATAAATAAAATAAGCCAAAGGTGCACTCACATGTATATAGCTTGCATGGAGTAGAGTCCAGTATATATCAAGGTAGAATCCAATGAGCACAGTATACAGCTTGTAACCAGGTGGAATACAATATGCCAGGTGTACTGCATGAAGAAAAAGCGCTTGTTGGGTATACAAAGATGGCACCACGCCGGAAGTGCATCACACGTTAGTGCCGTCGACGCACTGCGTCACGTGACCTCATGACTTCATCATTTTTTTTTTTATCTCATCTGTCATATATTATTATACATGTTTGTTGAAATTGTATATTAGCGCTGCATCATTATTTATATATATGTGTGTGTGTGTGTGTGTGTATGTATGTGTGTGTATGTATGTATATATATATGTATATATATATATATATATATATATATATATATATATATATATATATATATATATATATATATGTATATATATATATATATTTTGCAATTGCACATATTATGTAACCCCACCCCCCAAATCGGTTTATACTAATCTGTCCCCAATCCATCAAGATATTGTCCATGCATCTTCTCTATTCCTTTCAGCCCCTTGTCAAAATCTTAGCACTGGGACCTGCGCACATACAGTATACGCTCTCCTTTGGATCCTATGGAGAGTTTAAGCACTGCCAGTACACCCCCTCATTGCATTGTCCAATAACACCTAAACACGCTCCCTAACAATTACTCTAATCCAGCACTAAATCCCTAAAGGGAAGACTTCTTCTTTTAATAAATCTAAAAAAACAAATAGTTGTATATCAGCTTACCAGTCCTTAAAGTGATTCTAAAGGCTTAATTTAAAAAAAAAAAAAAATAAAAACGTGTATACTTACCTGCTCTGTGTAATAGTTTTTCCCGGATCTTCCTGTTCTCTGGTCCCCTACCAGCGATCCTGGCCCCTCCCTCCTGTCGGGAGCCCCCACAGTAAGCAGCTTACTATGGGGGCACCCGAGCATGCGCATTTCCCAACTGCTGCTCCATGTGTCCATTCACACACGGAGCCGCAGCTCAGCCCTGCCCCTCTCTTCTTATTTGCTCACTGCTGTAATTGACAGAAGCAGGAGCCATTAGCTCCCGCTGCTTTCCCAGCCAATGAGGAGATAGCCGAGACTCCAGTGCACATCGCTGGATCGAGAGGGGACTTAGGTGAGTATTAGGGGGGGGTGGGGGGATGCTACACAGAAGAGGTTTTTTTACTTTCATGCACAGAATGCATGAAGGTAAAAAACCTTGAGCCTTTACAACCACTTTAAATGAAGAATTTGTATTTTTTTTTTTTTTTTAATAAGGTTTTTTCCTTTTATTTTAATCTAATAATGCTGTTATTACCCTTTCTGTAGGGTAGGGTGACTATGCTTACTCTACATTTTTTATGAAGGGCGCTATGTCACCAGGGCTAGATTTCAACTATATCTTCCTGTCCATCATGACATGGTGGAAGAGAGCTTAGTAGTATACAGAAGGTAGATAACACTGTTTATGCAGTTCCGCCCACAGGAAGTGATAAGAATATTGCATTCTTGACAAATTCAGCAGGTAGTTCCTGTACTGTTGAAACCGTTCTTGGCCCAAAAAACTCAAACCTTATACAACCACCATATCAATTGTTAGCTGGAACATATTATATTTTTTGTGCATGGGTTTTAGATAGCCTTTAACCAGCTCCAGCAAAAACGCATACACATCTACCCAGAGCCACTGGTGGTGGAAATGTTCGAGAAATACATATTTTTTTCTTAAATCCGTATATGCATTTTATTTTAAGCCACATGGATCAGGTTTTAAGCCCATAATCATGAATAGGAGGTTGCTGCTTGTAGAAACCAGTCACGTGCTTAAGTAGCTAAAGTGGCTATACTTACATCATAAATACTCTTTTAGGTGATCCTGCTGCAGGCCAGCCCATGAGAGCAATGAGCAGCAAAGAGACAGAAGAACAAAGTAAGAAGAATATGCCAGTAAAGAACAGGGGGAAGGGTAAGAAAGCTGACTCCTTGTCGCCACAGCATGGTGATCTTGAGGTAAGCTGATATGAATGTAGACTAATCTGACGAGATGAGAGGAGATGCATGTTATAAAAGTGAATGTAGCAAGTCTCTAGGCTAATGATACTTTGATATAAAACCATCTCATGGCAAACATTACTTTTGCTGAGACTGTTTTCTTGATGTACATGGATAAACCTGACCTCTTGCATCTTCAGAGATTATGCTGGATTCTATATTTCAAATACCAGTTTATAAATTGTACATTGTTCTCTCGAGCCCTGCTATATCAATGTTGGTAAGATATTTCTGTACATAAAGATGTTAAAACAGATGTTCCAGTTGTATAAAAATAAAATAGTCAGAAACTACAAAAACTGTCTTTTAACCACCTTCCGCCCGCCATATAGTACAATGACGGGCGCAAGGTGGTTCTCTCGTTCGAATAGGACGTCATATGACGTCCTTCCATTCTCAACGTACATGAGCGGCTCAGGGAGCATGGAGCGTGGCGATTGCCAGTGCGCTGTGTCCCTTTGGACACAGCGGATCACGGAAAGAGCCGATCACAGCTGATCACATGTAAACACGGAAATGCCGGTTATCGGCATTTCTCTCCTCTCGAGCTGTCACGCTGACAGCTCGAGAGGTGAGGAGAGCCGGTAATTGGCTTTCCGCAGAGGGGACATGTACACTGATCATAAGGGCACTGATGATTAGTGTGCCCTGAAGATCAGTGTAGCTCCAGCAGTGCCACCTGTCAGTGCTCATCAGTGCCACATGCCAGTGCCACATCAATGCTACATATCAGTGCATACCAGTGCACATCAATGCCACATATCAGTGCCCATCTGAGCTGCCTTTCAATGTCACCCATCAGTGCCAGTCAGTGCCACCTATCAGTGCCAGTCAGTGTCGCCTATCAGTGCCGCCTAACAGTGCCAGTCAGTGCCGCCTATCAGTGCCATATATCAGTGTCATGTGTCAGTGCTGCCTTTTTCAGTGCCCATCAGTGCAACCTACCAGTGCCTCCTCATCAGTGCCATCTATCAGTGTCCATCAGTGCAGCCTATCAGTGCCCATCACTGCAGCCTCATTAGCGCACATCAGTGAAGGAGAAAAATCACTTATTTACAAAATTGTATAACAAAAACTAAGAAAAAACTTTTTTTTTTTTCAAAATGTTCAGTGGTTTTTGGTTTGTTTAAGAAACAAAAAAATCCCAGAGGTAATTAAATACCACCAAAAGAAAGCTCTATCTGTCTCAAAAAAATGCTAAAAATTTCATATGGGTACAGTGTTGCATGACTGCGCAATTGTCATTCAAAGTGTGACAGTGCTGAAAGCTGGAAATTGGCCTGGGCAGGAAGGGGGTATAAGTGCCCTGTAGGCTAGTGGTTAAAATACAGACACCTGTCCCTCGGTCCAGTGGTGTCCTCACCATGGCTGGCTTCACTGGCCGTCTTCTCTTCCCTGCGCAGGCATCTTCAGTGTGGGCTCCTGGCTGTGAAGCTGCAAGCTGTATGTGCCCACTGTGCATGCGCTAGCAGCGCTGCGCTTTGTGAATGGTCCTGTAGTCTTCTGGGACCTGTCACGTGTCTCAGAAGACTACGGGGAGGGAGGACCACTTCCGCTTCCGATCGCATTAGCTGATCGAACTGGAAGTGGGTACCTGTCAAATTCGGATACCTGCTCTCACACCCCCTCGCTCCCCAAAGGTGCCAATCTTTAACGGGGAGTGGGGGACAAAGCCTAAAAGCAGAACTTCCCCTTTTGGGTGTAGCTCTACTTTAAGAAACTGTTGCAGTTTCTAGAGTTGAGGATTGTAACATTGTAATCTTATTTCATGTACATCTTAAAACATTTCAGCTGTCATTTTAAAGCTTTGTTTTTTTAACCCCGTCGCGCTAGTACCTCCTGGCCCTTTAAGGGTTTCAGGAGGCGGGGTTTAGGGTCATGTGACTGCCGTGACACGCTGTCACGGCGGTCACATGATCGGGAAAGGTCCCGATCGAAAGAGGAGATCGGGACCTTTCCGTGAGTACCGGGCATGTGTGCTGGGAGCGCGCAGGGCACGCGCTCTCAGCACATATTTTCTTTTTTAATAGACCGCAAATGTGCGGCCGCTTGGCGTCTAGGCCCAGACACCGGGAGGCCGCACATTTGCTTTCGGCCGGCATGAAGAGGTTAAAGCACCTTCAGCAGCTGACTTAATAATTTGCTGAGTTGGCAACCATCTTTAAATCCTTACCCGTGTTAATCCCTACCCCTGTACCAGTTTAAGCTGGTGCCATGTTTGCTGCTCCAGGTTTCCTGTTTTAGGGTGACTTCTTTCTATCTATCTATTTCAGGTACTTCTATAGCGCCGTCAATTTATGCAGCGCTTTACATACATACATATTGTACATTCACATCAGTCCCTAACCGCCAAGGGGTGCACAACCTAAGGTATCTCTTGCAGCATCCTATGGAGTCACCTTTGCTTGCAGAGACTAGAGTTGTGTCTCATTTATATTGTGTGCATCAAAAGAAGCACACAGCCCCTATGGATGGCAAGGCACATTCTTACCCCCTCCCCCCTCCTTACTCCAATTAAACAGACTGGCTTAAGTTTGCTTTGTCTACTGTTAACTTCTTCCTATAAAGACTGGATGTTTAGGGAAGCAGCACTAGGAGAACAGGAGCCAGCAACCATGAAAGTTGTAATCTGCTATTGCTGAGGTACGAATTTTAACAAATGGTTTACTTGGGAATGTTTTTGAGCTCCATGTGTTCAGCTGAAAATACTGAGATTTTGATTCTTTTTTTATGTTACCTATTGTAATTCGCTTATATGCATTACTGGTGCTACAGATCAATAATGGTTTAAAAAAATGAATGTTTCAAACCTTTTTTACTGTACATCAGATGGCTCCTAATAGCAAAGTAGGAGTACTGTCCCTTTGAAACAATCCACCTATGGCTATGGTATGATAACTAAGAAGCTGTCCCACTTGAGCATTTGGATTTTATTGTTCAAACAAGGAAACAGGAGTGCGGGATCCTCATCAGCATGACAGTAGTCCTTTATTAAAAGAACAAAATAGCACGCATACAGTAAAAATTCTTGAAATTCAGCATGAGTGGTAAGAATTGCCAAGATGGATGCAAAATCAAGGCTATGTGTTGGAACAGCAATTCCAGATCCCCTGGCCAGCATCACAGGGAACCGCTCTGACAGCTGTCTAAAGACCACAACAGCATTTTGCGGCTTTGCTTTTTGTATTCACATTGGTGTTTCCTATCACCCATGGTGAATTTCAAGAATTTAAACTATAAGCATACTATTTTTTTCTTTTAATAAATGACTATTGTCATGCTAAAGAAGAACCCACACTCTTGTTTTCTTGTTGTTTGAGTTGTTTTAGATCATCCCGGATCTCTTCTGGAAGCTGGAGGATCCTCTCATTAGATCAATGTCCCTTGATCATCCTTCTGTTTGAATTGAATCTTATTAATACCTCTGACATTGGACATTGAAAGCTGGGACTTGTAGTGCACTTAGCTGGTTTGTGGATTTACCTTCACTTTTGATTTTGTTTGATTTTGTTGTGTCTCTTGTACCACATACATTGGGGTTTATTTACTAAAGGCAATTAGTCTGTGCGCTGCAAGTGAAGTTGCTCTAGATCAGTGTTTCTCAACCTTTTTTCAGTCAAGGCACCGTTTAAAATTATAGACAGTCCTGAGACACCCTTTAAAAGGGCACTGCATAATAAAATGTGAAAAACTATTCTAATAGTTTTATATAATGCAGCAACATCCATACATGTAGGACACCCAACATTAGAGGTGATTTATTCAAATGCACTTTTGCACAATAAGTAGTATTCCAGTGTTTCTATTCTCCCTCAGTTTATCTCCATCAGTGACCTAATGTGACCCCAGCACTGATGGAGAGGGGCAGGGGAGAGTAAAACTAGGATGCTGTGCAGACAGCTGACATCCTTCTTATCAACTGATGATGTCATTGATTGTCAGGGCGCCGGCGGCTAGAATTTCTTAGTGGTGCACAATGTAACTAAAAGACAGCCTGGTTCCGCCTGCTGGCTTGTATACAAGTTTTTATGCAATTTTTAGACATTTTGCCAAGGCACCCCTGAAGAAACCTTAAGGCACCCTGGTTGAGAGAGGCTGCTCTAGATCTGAGGGGAGGCTTGGTTGATTTCTATCATCCAATCATGTGTAAGCAAAAATGTGTTTATTTTTTTTGCAGGTGATTGGGTATTCTTTGCAAAGGGAAGCTTTACCTCATTTCCTAAGCTCTGGAGCAACTGCACTTGTAGTGCACAGTATATTTGCCTTTAGTAAATCCCAATGTCTAATTATCAGACAATGTTGAAATCACTGATGTATTTGTATCTAATATACACTATATTGCCAAAAGTATTGGGACGCCTGCCTTTACACGCACATGAACGTTAATAGCATCCCAGTCTTAGTCTGTAGGGGTCAATATTGAGTTGGCCCACCTTTTGCAGCCATAACCGCTTCAACTCTTCTGGGAACGCTGTCCACAAGGTTTAGAATGTTTGACCATTCTTCCAGAAGCGCATTTGTGAGTTCAGGCACTGATGTCGGACGAGAAGGATTGGTTAGCAGTCTCCGCTCTAATTCATTCTAGAGGTGTTCTATCAGGTTGAGATCCGGACTCTTTGCAGGCCAGTAAAGTTCCTCCACCCCAAACACGCTCATCCATTTATGAACCTTGCTTTTTTGCACTGGTGCGCAGTCATCTTGGAACTGGACGGGGCCATCCCCAAACTGTTCCCACAAAGTTGGGAGCATGAAATTGTCCAAAATGTCTTGGTATGCTGACGCCTTAAGAGTTCCTTTCACTGGAACTAAAGGGCCATGCCCAACCCCTGATAAGACAACCCCACACCATAATCCCCCCCTCCACCAAACTTTACAATTGCCACAATTCAGTCAGGCAAGTAACGTTCTCCTGGCAACCACCAAACCCAAAAACGTCCATCAGATTTCCAGACAGAAAAGTGTAATTCGTCACTCTGGAGAACACATCTCCACTGAGTCCAGTGGCAGCGTGCTTTACATCACTGCATCTGATGCTTTGCATTGCACTGATAGGTCTGGATGCAGCTGCTCGGCCATGGAAACCCATTCCATGAAGCTCTCTATGCACTGTTGTGCTAATCTGAAGGCCACACAAAGTTTGGAGGTCTTTAGCTATTGACACTGCAGACAGTTGGTGACTTCTGCTCACTGTGCTTCAGCTGTTTCGAGCTCCTGAGAGCAAGCCACTCTTTTACAAATGTTTGTAGAAGCAGTCTACATTGCCTGGGAACTTGATTTTATACACCTGTGGCCATGGAGGTGATTGGAACACCTGAATCTAATGATTTGGAAAGGTTGTCCCAATACTTTTTGCAATGTAGTGTATTTCTGAAGATTCCTTCTTGGATGCAGTAGGAAATAATTGACTCCACTTTACTTTTTTTGTATCTATTGTCTGTGTCACATTCAGGAGTCTTCACTTTTTTCTATCTTGAACACAACAGGAAGTGGGGAAAAAAACAGAAATGAGAAAAATGCATGTACACTCGCAAGTAAGAGCTGCTTCATTGGCTGGCAGCAGGGGCGGACTGACTATTTGGGAACTCTGGCACTGCCCAAGGGCCCGGGGTCAGTAGGGGGCCCCATGAGATGCCCCTGGTACATTTCATAGGCTTTTTTGGGTGTGGTTTAAGTGTGGGCGAGGACACGGGCCCCATGATTCCCTATTGCCCGGGGGCCCCATGAGTAGTCAGTCCGCCCCTGGCTGGCAGTATTGTGAACCTAGTATCTGCCCTGCAAAGCACAGCCTTTAAATTGTAAGCGCCACGAGCAGGACCCTCCTATTCCTTCTGTACTGAAATGTTTTGTAATTGTACTGTCTCCCTTATATTGTAAAGTGCTG